AGTGCATATTACAGAGGTGCAGTTGGTGCGTTGCTCGTTTATGATGTCACCCGGCATGTTACTTTTGAAAATGTGGAGAGGTGGTTGAAGGAGCTCAGGGATCACACAGATGCTAACATTGTGATCATGCTTGTGGGGAACAAGGCAGATCTGAGACACCTGCGTGCTGTTCAGACCGAGGATGCCAAGGCATTTGCTGAGAGAGAGAACACATTTTTCATGGAGACATCTGCACTGGAGTCTTTGAATGTGGAGAATGCGTTCACTGAGGTGCTGACTCAGATTTACCGGGTTGTCAGCAGGAAGGCACTTGATGTTGGGGATGACCCAGCAGCCTTGCCTAAGGGACAGACCATAAGTGTGGGGAAGGATGATGTATCCGCTGTCAAGAAAGTCGGTTGCTGCTCGGCGTAATAGTTCGATAGAAATGGAAAAAAAGTGTTGCCGTTATGAGTTTCTGATTAAGAATTTTGCAATTTCTGGCTTTGAAGAGAGCATTGTTTCTGAAGTACATATCAGAATGTATTCTCAGTTCTCACTCTCTTATGGGGAATGCTCAGATGGCAAACTGTAGTCTGATGGCTAGGGAAGGAAGAGATGTTATAGAGTCGTGAAGAGAAGCTTTAAGGTTGAGATCATAGAGACTTTTATTTGCATTTTCCCTTTTTCTTTTTTCGCCTGCAATATCACTACCTACCGACCTTTGAATGCCTTTCACTTGGATGTTTTAGCTCATTTGGAGTGCTGTGATTTGTAGTCATTTTCTGACGGTCCCTGTCCCTGAGTTGTTAGATAGCAAGTATGCCTAGTAATGATGTTCAAATGAATTGGGCTATTTTGTTTTAAATTTCCTTTGTTGTCTTCACTAATTTAGAGCAATACTCTCGCTGCAAGGAATACACGTCTTTTTTCTTCTTTTTTTTTTTTTGGTGAGAAGACGGACGAAATTGCGTCAGAATTCATTAAAACAATAGAACGATCCATGGATATGGCCATGGAGTCATACAACAACCAGTTGCACAGATTGGGTTTGTACACATCGAAGGAATGTGTACCAAAAGTGACCAAATGACCCTTGCTCGCCAAGAAATCGGCGGCAAAATTTCCCTCTCTATAGACATGGGATATAGTAACTTCCCAATTAAGGTTCAAAAGCTTGCCAATTCGTGCAACAATGAGCCCGTGGCGGTGATCCGTATCATTGCAGTTCTTCATGATGGTGATTGCTGTCAAGGAGTTGAGGTTCAGCTCCACCTTGCGAAATCCTCTATCCCACGCTCTCTGTAGTCCAACTTCTGCTCCTCTAAGCTCGGCCATGGTGATAGTACAGCTTCCCAAATTACAAATGAATGCGTCGAGACATCTCCCAAGGTGATCACGAAGGAGGCCCCCTGCTGCTGCATTCCCTGAGCTTTGCAACACAGATCCATCGCTTTGGATTTGAATCCAACTTTCTCTGGGTGGTTTCCAAACAATGGAATCTTGAAAGTAGGTGTTTTGAGGTGCCATGATACTCTTCTCCTCGTTAATCCTTGCTTGTTTATACACTTGGATCCAAGACATAATTTTGTTAATCAACCCTGCCTCAGAGTACCTTTTTCCATCCAAAGTTTCTTCATTCCTCTGTTTCCAGATCATCCAGCAGGAGATGCCAAAATCAGTTCCCCCTATCGGCATCCTTGATGTTATCCATGATCCATTGCTGGAAGCTTCTATTATCTCCAAGTGGATGCCCCATCTTAAAGAAGTTTCTGACCTCCTCTGTTTTCCTACATTTTCGCAGAATGTGTTCAATCGTCTCCAGCTCTTCATTGCAGGCCTTGCAGCTTCCATCTGTGGCTAGCTTTCTTTTAGTTCTTTCATGATTTGTAAGAAGATGGTTGTGTAGGACTAGCCAGAGGAAATGCTTCACTCTATTTGGCCCTTTCCACTCCCAGAGCTTCTTCCAGTCAGTTTGAACATCCTCTCCAATCTCATTTGTTGCCAGCAGGTAAGCTGATTTGAGTCTGAATCTTCCATCTTTTTCCAGCCCCCAGATCGTGGTATCCTCTCATCGTCAGTGAGAGTCTTAAGGCTGAAGTCTTTCAACAAGGTCTCTTGATCAAGCCAGGGGTGATTCCAGAATTCTGTTGTTCTCCCATCCCTAATGGTCCAGACAGTGGCTTTCTGCATCACAAGGTACGCTTTAAGGATTCCTCTCCAGAGACTTGAGTGGTTACTTCTCTTCATACCAGTGATTCTTCCATCTCTTTGATGAAAATACTTCCCCGGTATCACTTTCACCCAGAGATCATCCTTGTTGTTCAGGATTAACCATGCCAATTTGATCATGTAGGACAAGTTGAGACTTTGAGCTGATCTGAGTCCCAATCCTCCTTGCTGCTTTGGGGTGCACACCTTCTCCCATGACACCAAATGCACTTTTCTTTTCCCTTCTTGTGATCCCCAGACGAACCATCTAATTCTGCGATCAATGTCATCACAAAGTGAAACAGGTAACATTGATGTTTGCATAGCATATGTAGGAATATCGTTAAGGACAGAAAGAGCAAGAGTATGTCGTCCAGCCAGGGAAAGTGTTTTGGCCTTCCAGGCTGTGAGCTTTCGATCAATCTTCTCCAGAATGTACTTGAAGGTGGTTTTAGAAATTCTTCCATGGAGAACAGGTACTCACAGGTACCTCCCCACGTCCTCAGTCTCCTAAATCCCCAGCCTTCTACATACATCCCTTCTGTTCGAGCTCTTTGTATTTTTGGAGAACAGGACTCTGGATTTCTCCTTGCTGATTTGCTCTCCTGAGGCTGAGGCAGAACAGAAAGCTTCAATGCAGTCCATAACCACCTCTGCCCATCTCGGATTTGCTTCAGCAAACAGCACCAGGTCGTCTGCAACGAAGAGGTGGGATAGAGGGGGTCCTTGTGGAGTTAACCTCACCGGCTTCCATCTCTTCTCCTTTACAGCATTCTCAATACAGTGGCTCATTCTTTCCACACACAAAGTGAACAAGTAAGGGGAGAGGGGGCATCCTTGGCGAAGACCCCAGCTTGGGGAGAAGCTTTCAGATTCTCCCCCATTCCAGAGCACCTGCAATTGGGTGGAAGAAACACACTGCATCACAATAGACACAAAATTGGGGGGAAATCCAGCAAGGGACAGGGTCTGCTCCAGGAATTTCCACTCAATCCGATCATAGGCTTTTGACAGATCGATCTTCATGAGCATCATTCCTTTCTTCCCTGATTTTCTAGCCATCGAGTGGACTGTTTCCTGCAAAATCAGAATATTGTCAGTAATATGGCGTTTAGGTACAAAGCTAGTCTGGTTTTGCTTCGCAAGGATTGGCATCAGTCCTTTGATCCTGTTAGCCAAACATTTGTCAATCGTTTTATATCCGACATTGCAGAGGCTTATTGGCCTAAAATCCTTCATGGAAACAGAGGCTTCATTCTTAGGGATCAAGACAAGCAACGTCTCATTGATCCTGCTTATCAGATTGTGGCAGATGAAGCATTCCTTAATGAACTTGCAGAAGTCCTCCCCAACACTATCCCAACATTTTTGGAAGAAGAGGGCATGAAATCCATCCTTTCCAGGTGCCTTGAGCCCATTCATATCATTGATGATGGCTTTGATTTCCTCATTGGAAGGAGGAGCACTGATTTTGGCCATGCGGGCTTGACAAATCTCAGGGAATAAACACGGAATTATATTCTGGAGCGGTTGATCCTCACTTCTGAACAGTTTACAGTAATACTGTCTTGCCATTTCCAAGAGGGCATCAGGATCAGTAATCCAATTTCCATCATCCGATTTGAGGCAGGTAATACTGTTTCTTCTCCTTCTGGTCAGGGTGCTTGTGTGAAAGAAACGAGTGTTCATGTCTCCAAACAGCGTCCAGTTGGCACGCGATTTCTGCATCCAGAGGACCTGTTCCTGCCAAATTGTTTCTTCCAACTCTTCTCGAATTCTTTGCTCCATCTGCAGGGAACTTATGCTTTGGGAGGTTTCATTAAACTTCTCAATTTTTTGGAGACAGTTGGAAAGCTGCCTCTTTCTTTAAAAGATGTTACCAAATATCTCCTTGTTCTAGGTTTGCAGTCTGTCGGAGAGAGTCTTCAATGACACAGGGAAATCAAAGCCACCATCCCATGAACTTGACATGAAAGGGAAGAAGTCAGGGTGAGCCAGCCAGGGTGCCAAGAACTGGAAACGTCTCGCCCTCTTAGTCTTGCTCTGGTGTTCCTCATTTCAGGTCAGGATTGGTCTATGATCAGACTTGAGCTTGATTAAGTGCAAGGTCGAGGTAGCAGGGAATTGCTGGATCCATTCCAGGTTACACAAACTGCGATCCAGTCTTTCTCTAATTCGGGATTCCTTAGTGAACCATGTGAACTTCGGCCCTGAAAATCCAACATCCACAAGGCCACAACCATTAATGCATTCATTGAAATCTCTTACTTTGCCTTGGTTGAAGGACGCTCCTCCAATCTTTTCAAATGGTCCTGTGATAGAGTTGAAGTCATTCGTCAGCATCCATGGAGTTCTAGTTCTTCTTCCAATAGTTCTGAGTTCCTGCCAGAGCTCCTTCCGATCATGCTCATTCGGGCTAGCATAGACAGCTGTGATCACTCCCACTTCCTGGTTCCCACTCCAATATCTGAGATGGATGAATTGCTTGTGGCAAACAATGAGCTCTAAGTTAAGCTGGTTGCTGTCCCAAAGAACCCATATCCCTGCACTGAAGCCTTATACAAATCAAAACATAATGTTTTGATAACATCAATAGCGTCTTTGCCACTAATTCTCGGTTCGAGGATACAAACCACGTTTGGAGAATTAGCAGCCTTATACAAATCAAAGGTTGGTTTAAACTTCTGGTGCTTTGCACCCTTACAATTCCAGGAGAAGATCTTTATCATCATAATTGACAAAGAGAGGCTCCTGAAGCTCCTAGGAGAAGGGAATCATTTGGAGTCAACGGCCATTGCCGTTGCACCAGTTTATTTATTACTCTCCACTTTTTCAGAAGATTTCGAGTTGTGGTTTCTTTCCTTCTCTGCACCCTCTTTCACCGGGCTAAAGACAATTTTTCTGGAGAGGGTGTTATCCTCCTTCTGGATTTCCTGAGTAGCCCCACCATTCTTACGTTCTTGGTTCATGTTTGGTGAGCTCTGCTTGACTTTATCGCCTTCGATTGCCCCGTCCGGTGGTTTCTTCTCTTTCGGCTCGCTCTTGTGCTTCTGTTGGTTGCCCTGCATTTTCCCCTGAACTGATTCATTGCTAGTCTCCCCTTTCTTCATTTTGTCAGCTCCCCCCTTGTCAGCGTTCACTGCTGAAGAAGAAGCCTGTTGAGTGGTTCCCGTTCTCTTGGTCGCTGCTCTGCTTTTGTTTGTTTTCCAGTGGTGTCCTGTTTTGCTTCGTTTGCTTATCAACTCTGCCTTTCATTGAACTCTCATTTAGTTGTTTTTTCGAATGCTGTGTCTTGTTTTCTCCTTTGGTTTTAGGCTCAGGGCATTTTCTTGTGAGTTTCTTTCTGGGCTTGCTTCCTCTGTTTCTAGATCTTCCCTTTCAGCATCGGCCTCTGTTTCCTCTTCTTGCAAGGAGTTGAACCGAGATCCGCTCGCAGGGTTCTTACTTTTGTTTTCCCCCTTCCATTCTCCTCCTTGCTCTGTTGATTCCTCTGCGGTGGTTTACGCCTTCTTGTTCTGGTTGCAAGCATCCAAGGGCCAAAATCATTTAGGATTTCCGGCCTGATTTCTGGATCCTTGGCCTCTTCCACTATTTTTTCTTTTTGCCGTTCTTCCTCCGTTTTGTTATCCGGGCAAGTTTATTCGAGAGGCCAAATTTCCCACAAAGATAGCACACTGTATATAGTCCTTCGTATTCAATTCTCCTCACCCTTCTTTGGATTCTGTATTTTGATACGAGTTTTTTCCGGAGATCGATTTCAACACATATACACGCGTAGTTTCCTCTCACACCGTTGCCTGTGTTAAAATCGATCTTCTCCATTCTTGCGATCTTGTTTCCAATATCAGTGAGGATCTCGTGATCAAAATAAGCAAGTGGGAGTCTCGGAAGTCTTACCCACACCGCAGTCCTGCTAATTGTATCAAAGTCTGGGTCGAAATCAATTCTCCATGGCTCCGAGACAATATAGTAGTCTTCCAACGTCCATGGCCTTCCATAGAGAGCTCTGTCGCGGTCGAGCTGGGAGTCGAAAGCTGCTTGAAAGTATCCGTTGCCAACATCACTGACTCGGATACCCCCAGTTCTTGCCCAGAGCTTTTGAATTCTTCTTTGAATAAACATGAAGGGGAAGTTTTTTCCGAGAATTCTGAATGTGATCGCCCTTTGGAATTTCTGGCGGATTTTAGCATCAGTTCTCTTCTTGATTCGTATCGTTGAGCATTCAGGGTCATCCTCTGCACCTTCATCCTCAGATTCGTCGGACATGAGGTCGTTGCCCTTGGGAATTTTGATTGGCGGTCCGTTGCCGAGCATTCTGTCCTTGTATGTCGCGGTCGCCCTCGTCAGTGGCTGCCCAACTCCCTCGGACTGGGCGGCAGTTGTTCGCTCTGGTTCCGTCATGGTTGCGTCTTTGTCAGAGCTCTTTGACTCCGCCACCGCGGTCACCACGCTCGTATTCAAATCACTCTGGCCAGCGAATCCTCCATCGGAGGACGATCTAGACTTTTTGGTAGGTTGCACTGGAGATCCCGTCGGAGATTCAGATGGTTTCCTGTTTCGGATCGGCGTCGCCGCCGTTGGAGGCATAGCCCCAACGGTCAAAATTCAAACAAGCAGGAGAGAGGGCAGAGCGAACTTCTCTCTAAAAAAGGAGGAGAGAGAGCCGGCCCTTAGAATTTTTTTTCTTCTTCTCTTCTACAAAACGCTTTTTTAGCACAAAAAGCCTTCAATTGCTACTAGCAACATGCCAAAAGTGGTAAATTTCACTATCTTAGTTTTAATTCACAAGGTGCAAAATTCTGATTCTGTGGAGAATTTTATAGGGTAAATTTCACAAATACTCTTTTTTTAATATTTACCATTAATATGGCGGTTTAAAAAGTATTGACACAATTATTGTATTTTGGAGAGCAAAATTGACAATACTGCCCGAGACTCAGGCGCTGCCGCTATTTCTTTTTTTTTTAAACAATTTGATTAAGGTGAGATCGAGGGCGCCCAAGACTAAGGTGGTACCGCCATTCCCAAAGGTTTTTAAGAATTTTCAAAAAGGTTGACCGGCGGCGGCGCCAGAGACTGAGGCGAGTTGGTGGGAAATTGTACCCAACGATGGCGCCTAGGACTAAGGCGGGTCCGCTGGCATACTACTGGCCTTTACCCCCATAAAACCAACTAATTTCCTTTCAGTTGCTCACCACAAAAAATAAATCCACGAAATTAGACGAGAGAAGCTCTGGTTGGTGCAAAGATGACTAATAGGTAAGAGACAAATTTATTATTTTTAATTATATTCTTCAAATGCTATTATGATTTTGTTTAGTTAATTAGTGATGTTTTTATGTAGTTATTTTAGAAGATTTGAACTAGTCGTTCGGCGGAAATCGGAGAAAGTAGAGGATAATTTGAACGTCCAATTCGTTGGTGGTAGAAGTTTTCAGTTGATGGTTCCATCTAGGGTGACATATCACAAACGTTGTGAGAATCTAATTCCGAGAATATGATGTAGAGACGAAGCAATACAAGATAGTGATATGATCACAGGTTTCACTTACCGTCTTCCAGAATGGCAGAATGGTGTTTTATTTCATTATGCGATGCCTATTGTGGATGATGATAGTTTGAATGTGCTTTTCGATTTTATGGCACAAAACCCTTATTGTTTGGGTGTTGAGATACATGCTGAGCTCAGTGGGGATCGGGATGGAGAGGAAGAAGATGAGATATGAAGCATGTCATCCGATCATGGCGATGTTAACGAAGAGGAGGAAGATGCAGAAGAGGAGGAGGAGGAGGAGAAGGAGGAAGACGACGAAGGAGAGCAGCCTAATTATCCTCCATATTTGTACTTGCAGGGTAATGAAGAGGACGACGAATTATCATATGCTGATTCATATGGCGTAATTCCAATGCCTATTGTTGCTGGTTTTGAAGGAGAATTCTACAAGAGCAAGATATTTCACTCGAAACAAGATGCACAGGTGGCGACTAAACACCATGCACTACAACGCAACTTTCAGTATGGCGTGGTGGAGTCGTCACCTTCAATCTGGAAGGTCAGATGCTTGAAGCACAAGGATGACAATTGTCCTTGGATGGTGCGGTTTGGGTGTCGAGATGTTGGAAGCGAATGGACTGTGAGAAATGCCTAGTTGATGCATTCTTGTAGCAGTACGATTCAACAGACGGATCATCGCCATTTTGATGTCGATGTTATATCTGAGTCCGTTAAACATTTGGTATGTGCCCAACCAAATCTCAGTGTTCTAACTGTGTAGGCCGAGTTGAAAGATAAGTTTAATATGCAAGTTACAAGAAGGCTAGGTATGGGAAACAAAGAGCATTGGAGAAGTTGCATGGAAATTGGGAAGAATCCTACGATTATTAGCAAACACTCTTGCAGGTGGTAAAGAGAAAAATGCCAACATCAGTGATTGATTGGATAAGAGTTCCTTCATCGCAACCAGGTGTTGATCTTTAAGCGAGTGTTCTGGGCTTATGGACCTTGTATAGATGGATTCAAGAATTGTCCAGGAGTCATGGTTATTGATGGAACATTTCTTACTGGAAAGTTTAAAGGAGTGCTACTCATGGCGAGCTCATTTGATAGCTGCAAGAAGATTTTTCCAATTGCATTTGCCATAGTGGAAAGCGAGAATGCTGATAGTTGACCGTGGTTCATAAGTCACGTTCCAGGTTTTACCGATCGAAATGATGTCAGCATCATCTCAGATAGACATGCGGGACTCTATGAAGCCATGAGTAACATCGGAAGAGGTTGGGAGTGGAGGTGGTGCATGCGACAGTATGCAAGCAATTTGCAAACGAAGACTAAAAGCAGAATTATGTATAAGCAACTATTTCGAGTCAGTAAGCCTTCTTCATTAAATTTTTTTATTTATTTTAATGTATTATTTATTTTCATTTAATTTTGTCATGAATTTATCTAACTCGTGCGGTTATTTACTTTGTTAGCCGGAGAAAAAACGCTTGGAAAAGTTTGATCGTCAAGTTGAGCAATTTAAGAAGGTGGTCGCTGATAGGAATATTTCTTGTGATAACTGGGTGGACCAACATCAAATTTGTTGGAGCTTAGCACATGATAACTATAATGGTGGGCGTCGATGGTCTATCCTGACATCCAACATGACAAAGAGCATCAATGGTGTTTTCAAAGGTATTCTTTCACTTCCTATAGCTTCTCTTGTGCAACATACTTATTGGCGACTGTTGGAGAAATTCGATAAGATGAGATTGGAGACAGAAACACAAATTAGAAGTGGTCGTTCACAGTACACCATCAAGTGTGAAGAGATGATGAAGCCGTGGTCACAAAAAGCAGTTGGACTTTCCGTGATAGGGTTTGATCTATGTCAAGGCATCTATGTAGTTCAGACTCCTCCAACAATTTAAACATTACGGGTTCGAACACACTCACAGTGCACTTCGACGAAAACAATCGGGATGGATTTTGCACTTGTGGAAAATTTCAAGGAAATAAAATTCCTTGCTCTCATGTCATTGCAACTTGCAACCGAATGGGGGCTAATCCGTATAGGTTTGTAAATGACGTCTACAAGCTTGAAACAATGTTGGCTTGTTATGGGACAAGTTTCACACCTCTTGGTGAACCTAAGGGTTGGAAGAAGCATAATGGTCCTACTCTCCATCCTAATGTGCACATGATTAGGAAGTAGGGGAGGCCACAAAAAACAAGAATTCACAACGAGATGGATTGTCCAAGAGAGGGTGTATCACAACAAGTGTGTAGCAATTGTAACCAAACTGGACATAATGCATCAACTTGTGGTGGCCAAGCAAGTGTGAGTGGGAGCCAGTGAAGAGAAAGTGGTGGCCAACGACGTGCGAGAGGTGGTAGAAGAGGAAGTAGTGGTAATAGACGTGGTATGTAGTTTGGTCGAACTTTTATCAAATGTATTAGTTGTTGTGTTTCTTTCCATGTAGTCGAATTGTTTGAAGAAGTTGTCTGTAACTTTCGATTTCTCATATAAAATGTTTGTTGTTTTTATATTTAAAGTTTTCATTTAAAAATAGTCCACATAAATAGTCCACATAATAGCCCATATAATAAATTCATAGAAGTACATAATAA